GTTAAAAATCAATTAGAAATAATCATTAAGGTTTTAGAAACCAATCAAGGACGTAAAGTTTTCGTCAAAATAATTTGAGGAATTATGTACTGAAAATGGTAGTATCAGACAAGAACTTTCTCCCTATACACATCAACAAAATGGTGTTGCTGAAAGAAAGAATAAAACACTATTAGACATGACTAGATCATTAATAGCGCAAATAAATTTAGTTATGTCTTTCTGGGGAGATGAATTATTGACTGCGGCCTGCATATTGAATATGATACCTTCTAAATCCGTATCTTGAACTCCTTATGGACTTCAATTATGTAGGAGTACAAGAAAAATTGTACAATATTATGAGATAGAGGCTTATGTTTTCTTGATATCTCCAACAAAATTCAATGAACCTACTTCTACAACCAATTATCGAGCCCTAAAATGTATGAATGATTGAAAGCAATGAAAAAATAATTAGAGTCCATGAAATCAATAAAGTTTGCGATCTAGTTGACCTTCCAAAGGAACGTAAACTTATTTGAAATAAATGAATTCTCAAAGTCAAAAGAAAATCGGATGGGTCAATAAAAAGATAAAAACATGATTGGTGGCAAAAGATTTTATTCAAGAAGTTGGTATAGACAATGAGGAAACTTTTTTATCACTGGTGAAATTTACCTCTATATGATTATTTTTAGCTATTTTTGCACGTTTAGTTGTACTAGTTTCTGAGGACGTGCTTCGCACGTGTGTTTCATGTCAATTTTAATAGATACATTAGAATGATTAAAATCTCATGGAAATATATATGTAAATTGTAATGAATAATAAAATGTAACAATTACAAAATAAGAATAAAGACGTACGACAATAAAACATTCATATAAAACTAAATTAAGAAGTCTAACAGAGTGAAAAAAAGACAAAAAGAAACAAAAATATTTAAGAAAAAATACAATATAGACATTATTCTTATAAGATTGATGTATATATAGATGAAAAAATAAGTACAAAATTAGTACATAACTCTCTGAGTTCTTATCCACTCCTTTCATATCCTATCAAAATTCAAGAGTCTTCATCATCTACTTTTACTATAGAATAAAAATAATAGTCTAATAATCTTGGTAGGGGTTTCATGAGATAAAGAAGTTGAATTTATATAAATAGAATAGAAGGAATATCAAAAGATATCTTAAAGTTTTAGTTTAAATATTTGGAGGTTATGAATATGAATAGATGAGAGTTATGAATATTATTAAGAGTATAAAGGCTAAATAAGTAATTAGAAAATAATCACAAATAAATGAAGAATATGAAGAAAAAAAATAAAATTAGCAAACCATGTAGAAAGAACAACGAAAGTTCTTATCATGTAATTAAGCATTAATGAATTTAGATTTGTGAAGCTAGAGCCATTCTTTAATAATAATCAAGAGGACATTATCAATGTGCGTCTCCATTTTGTAGATTTGCACCCTTTAAATTATTAAATTTCGTTATTTATCATAAAGGATAATACTTTATCCACATCAATTATATTATTCATGAGAGGGGGGTTAAGGAAAAAGTTATAAGAAGAGGAAAAGAAAAGAAATTTAGACAAAGATTTTTTTTTTTAAAAAATTATAATTATTATATACATATAGATTATAGATGATAAATATTAATAGATTAGATATTTAATTAGGAATTAATCTTAGGAAGTCTAAAAGTTATTAACATTTAATTAAATATTTAAATATTTTATAACAATTTAATTTATAGAAGGGGTAAAATCGTAATTTAACTTTCAACTTTTTTGTTCATGCTTTTAGTAATATATGATAATTACACAAAATGTGAAAATCACTTTTCTTAATGGAGAATTAAAAGAGGAAATAAACATGGTACAACCAATAGGTTTTGCTATTAATGGTCAAAAAATAAGTTTGTAAATTGGAAAGATCAATTAATGGTCTAAAGCAATCTTCAAAGCATCTGAGATTTCATAAGAAGTTGATGTCATTTAATTTCACCATGATTGATGAAGACCATTACATCTATGTGAAAAAGTCCAATGAAAATTTTGTAATTCTTTCTCTTTACGTAGATGATATTTTATTAGCTTAAAATAATTTGGAGTATATATGTGAAAACTGTCAAGTCATGACTTTCAAAATCATTTGATATGAAAATATATTGGTAAAACAGACTATATATTCAGTGTTAAGATTCAAAGAGATCGTTTTAAGCAATTTTTAAGTTTGTCAAGAAACTTATATAAAGGAAATATTGGGACATTTTAGAGTAAATAGTTGCAAATCCATAGATACTCCTTTAGTTAAGGGGTGAAACTTTAAGCCTTGAAATGTGTCCAAAGATAGAAAAAAAGGAAGATATGTCTCGATTTTCATATTCTATGTTGTTGAAAGTTTGATGTATGTTATGATGTATACTCACTTAGACATTTGTTATGCCTTAAGTCTGCTTAGAAGGTATCAATCTAATCCTAGAAGAGATCATTGGAAAGTAGTAAAGCGAATATTTTGATATCTGAAGGGAATTGCAGATAATTCTCTATGTTATGTATATGTTGATTGGGTTGGTGATTGGTGTGATAGAAAATCAATCTCCAATTATTCTTTGTTACTTAATGATGGGGCTATATTATGAAAATCTAAGAAACAAACTTGCACCACTCTTTCAATCATAAAGTCAGAATTTGTGACTTGTGTGTCAGCAATACAAAATGTTGTTTGGTTAAAAAAATATTCTTTGAGCATTTGAATATTGCAAAGACTTCTAAGGGTCGCATGATTCAATATTGTGACAGTCAAACGACTGTCACATATACGAAGATTCCTTTGTGTCATATCAAAATTAAATACTGTGACATCATGTATAACTTTATAAGAGACATATTAGAAAGTGGAGAAATAAATTTGCAATACAATCTTACTCGTAAAATGATAGCTAATCCTTTTACAAAGCCGATAGCTATAGACTTGTTTGAGAAACATGTTAAGGCTTTAAGTTTGCGTAGAATATGATAATATTTATGTATTATAAAATAACTTGATTGTTATAATATTCTCATCAAGACTATTTTGAATTTATATTCATATCTCGTACGTATGTGATAATGATATTAGAAATAGAATATGTAACAAGTCGTGAGATTAAACTCTCTCACACAAGTAATCCCCTTTTACGTCAAAGGACTTGAAGAGATGATTTTCACTATAATGTTACGACTTGTTTTGTAAACCAAACTAGAGTCTCTCTAAGCAGATGACTTCGAGGATCACTAAAGACAGAACTCGGGTTAGAAATCTAGAGATGTCGAAACAAAAGTTTATATGATGTTGGATACTAAAAAGAATGATACACATGCACCAATATAAGGTGAAAACATTGTAGCATGTGTTTCATATCGCGTCTTTTAAACGATTAATGAGTTAATAAAATAATGATTTCATGCTTTTTCATTGTGTGAGATCCCAAAAATTTAAATTAACTTTTCGTTAAAATACCCTTTGACCTTTTACTGTTTCTTGTATTTTCATATGTGTTGTTATTTTAGCATGTTACTAATAGTCATGAGTGATTCAACAATAAATGGTATGTCTAAGAAAGCATTTGATACGGAACAAATAAATTCGAGTAGAAAGGAAAGATGATTAAAATTAATAATTTTAATTGTATACACAAGTCGTCTATTACACTCGAGTGTATTTTTGTGTTGACACCCAATTTTGACCGACCTTTGACCATGTTTAGGAATACTATTCAATTAAATACGTACTTTAAATTTTAGAATTTTTAGTTGACTTTGCTTGAAAATTATATATTTTAGTATGTTTTAAAATTATCGTAAATATTTTAAAATTATTAATGAATTCCAAATGTTTTAAAATTTAAATGATTTTCAATTATATAAAAATATTTTAATATTTGTAGTATTTTAATTAAATAGTAATTCCTACACTTTCTTTAAATTTTAAATTCTAGCCTATTCTATCATAATTTCTTTTAATTCTAGCCACTTGAATTAGAGTTTATTTAAATCATAGTCACTCTTTCATTCCAATTCTAGCCAAATTTTATTACAATTGTAGTCATTCCATATTCAATCCAATCTGATTTCAATACATCTCATCTTTTAATCTCATCGATCTATTTTATCAATCAAATCCTAACCCTTCATCTCGTATTAAATCAATGGTCCATATTTAGTGCACCTATTCTAACCTAAAGTAGGGACTAATCCCTAAAAAATGACTCTCTTTCTCCCTTCTCCATCTCTAGCAGCTGCCCCTCCCTCTCTTCCATCTATTTTTCCAGTGAAGCCCTCCGGAGGCGGTCACTTTCCTCTCCCCGGCGCCTCTCTCCTCTCGCCTTCCTCTCCGCCCCTCTCTTCTCCCTCCCTCTTCTCTAATTTTCATGACCGACAGGAACCCCGCAGCCAGCAGCCACCGGCGAGGCAGTGCCACCCCCTCGCTCTCCTTTTCTCCTTTTTCCAGAGAAAGCAGCAAGAAGCTGCAGCAACCAGCGAGAGCCGCTCTCTTCCTGTCTCTCCTCGCCTCTTTTTTCTCTTCTCTCTTCCCTTCTTTCCCGCCTTCTTTTCTCCATTGCTGGCAGCGCTCAGGCGAGCTTCCAAGCAGCAGCAAACGGCAGGCACCGGCAGCAACGATCAACGCTTCCCACCGGCCAGCAGCTCCGGCAAAATCTGCAACTCAGCGATGACAACAGCCCGACGAGAACTTCAACATCGAGCAGCAGCAACAATGAGCATCTCCAGCGAGGCTTGAAATTATGGTAACTTGCGAGACATGTCTCAACAGATCCGTTCAGGTTTGTTTTTGGTTTAATTATTGGTTGTCTTCTAAACATCAACTTCTTTCATATGTGATGTTGCGATTTTCTCATTAATAATAGTTGTTAATCTTATGCTAAGCATGAATCTTTAAAACCCTCCGTATATTTGTTCGTCTTACAATTTTATTCGTAGTAAGTATGTTGAGTTTCAGCTCGGATTAATATCACTATATTATACACTTGAATACTTTTATTTTCTTCGTATATGGGTTTTGGCTGATTCTTGATCTAGTTGTTGTTGGATGTGATCTTTTGATTTTCCTAATGCAGGTTGTTTCTAAATTGATTGTTTTTCCTAAACTAATTCTTTTAGAGGATTCTCCTCTTGCTAATCATAATCGGATTCCATTCATTTTGTTGTGTGACCTCAAGAATATTCCTAGTCTTGATGACCGCCTTAATTGTTTGATCCTCTAGGATAAATTGTTAAGTTGTTAATTTTGACTATGCTTAATGAATTTATCATTCTAAGTCTGTCCTCTAAGTGATATTGTTTACCTGACTAGTCTCTTGCTGATTTGCTCATTGACTTTGTTATTGTAAGCTATTAAATTTACAATTGATATTATGTGATTATTGGGGACTGTAAATTTATTTCTTCCCTTGAATAGTAATAATATTATACTCATTTTGCATTTAGTTGGGTACCGATTAAGGTAAAAAAAATTTGCTGACTTTGTTTGAATCAGTATATTGATTTTTATTTCCCATGATTGTCTCTTATCCATTTTTTGACTTATGGTAATTTGTTTGTAAATAGTAACAATATTTTTACTTGCTTTTATATCTGGTAAAAATAATTAAATTATTTTTCTTATTTAGCTCTCCCTTAAAATAAGGAAAATATTTTTTAGGGGGGCTTAATTTATTCTCTCCATTATTTAAATTTGTCTTGTTTGGTGAAAGTAATTTTGATTTGGATTTTTTTATTAAGGAAAAGCAATATTATCTTCCTAACTTTTTTTTTACTAGTTTGTTTTTGGTAATGAATTTAAAATATAAACTGTTTTGGCTCTCTCAAAATAAGAATAAGTTTAATTGATCTATTTTTCCTTATTTGTAAATTTAGTGATTTCTTACTTGTTTATATATGGTAGAATAATATTGTTTTGACTCTTCTTCGTTTATGGTAAAAGAATATTATGCTCATAAATTATTCTAATCTATTTCTTTTCCTATTTTGTTCCCCCTCTTCTACTATATAAGAGACCCTCCTTCTCATTCTTTTAATCACTCATACAATCATTCACTCTCAATCACAAGTTCTCTCATCACTCTTCATTCTCTCATTGCTCTCTTGCTATTCTAAATACATTAAGATTTCGGTAAACATTCAAGTGTTCTTCTTCGCTACTTTGCTATTTTGCTTTTGTTCGAGTAAGGTTGGATCAACTTATCTTTTTTCATTGCTACCATTCCTAATCTACTTAACCGGTTAGTATTCAGAATTAACATTTAAATTATTTTTGTATTCATACATTTGTGTGAGCTCATTGTTCTATTCCTTTGTTATCTATAAGTTGTTAAACAATTGCATAATGTCTCACCTTGACTAATAAATGTGATTACTTGTGTAGTTATTTGATTGCTTTGAGAGGTTTCAAACTTGAAGTTCAAGTTGAAGATTAACCCTGAAGAAAGATTTATTTGCTTATTTGAATCTATATTTTTTCTTTCTTCTTTTATTTATTCAAATATTGTATTATTTGTAACTCTAAATATCATATATATAAATTTATTTGGGGGATCGTCTAGGGGAAGGGGATTTACATGCTACTTGTTCATTGTAATTTTTTTTTTAAAAAAAAGTTAGAAATCATGCCTATAGGCTTATCTTTAACCACCTAGAATTATTGTTTGTAGGTGTTATAATCTAACCAATTTTCAATTTGCTTGACGCTTTTGTTAATAAGTCTAAAAAACAAAAAAAAAACTAGATTCCACTAAGTTTTGAATGCTAAAATCAAATCGTAATAATTTAGTAGGCTTATTAGGTGTTTTAAAAATGTTATAACTTTTTTAGCATTGTCTTGTCACGTAGAAACCATGCTTAAGGACTAAACTGTTCATATCATTTAGATTTACAAAATCATGCATATATGTGTTACCCTGTTTTCTTTTTTTGAACACCTAGAAATCATGTCTATAGGCTTAAACTTTAGCATGTCCATAATAAAAAATAAAATTTGTTGTGCATATTTGTGCCCTCCCCTTAAAAATTAGTTAATATTATTTAATTAGTAATTTTATTTGTCCCCTTGAAAATTTCCGCATTTATGATGCAATATGTTGTTTTTTTAAAATAATAGTGATAATAAATTAAAATCATTTCATGCATTTAACAAACTACTTGGCTTTTGAATATTCCATATCAAAACCTTTGCATTTAATAAATTTATCATCTTAATGTTCTACTAGTTTTTTTTTCTTACTTACAAAGTTTTGCAACATAACTTTCTTAAGAGTCATTATTCAATCATCCTTTACAACTTTGGATTGATTATGACATTGTTTATTTTGAAAAAAATTATAAGCACTATCTCCTAATCTATCGTTAGTGGGAAAGTCAAGGGAACTACGAGGTCTAGTTCCAATTTTAAAACCCGACGCGTCCCCGGAAGTACCACCTACCCATGAATTTCAAAAGGAATTATATGTAAATATTTATGTGCCTACATGTAAAATAAATCTTTTAAATCATTTTCAAAAACATAAACTATTTTTTAGACCGACCTCAAATCAAAATTGTTTCTATGGTGGTCCCGACCGTATCTCATGCAATCTATGTGGGGGTTACAATTAGCAATCAAGGTCACTTCATTTATTAATTTATTTAATCTTGCTAAGTGATAACAAATATAAAAACAATTAATTCTATTTTATTATTTTTTTCATTTAATTTGAGCATGCAAGGCTTGATGATAGCAATAAATAAAAGTCAAGTTTTATTTTTATTTAAGCATATGAGACTATGTTATAAACAAAATTGGCAAATATTAAGCGATTAATATGTGTGAAAGTAAAGTTTGAAAATTGATAAGTTTTGAGTAGAAATTTTTTTTTAAAAGATGTTTGTTTCTTTATAGGGATGATGCCACGATATTGTTGATCGCGCTCCTCCACCATAGAAACAATTTTGATTTGAGGTCGGTCTAAAAAATAGTTTATGTTTTTGAAAATGATTTAAAAGATTTAGTTTACATGTAGGCACATAAATATTTACACATAATTCCTTTTGAAATTCATGGGTAGGTGGTACTTCTGGGGACGCGTCGGGTTTTAAAATTGGAACTAGACCTCGTAGTTCCTTTGACTTTCCCACTAACGACAGGTCAGGAAATATTGCTTATAATTTTTTTTCAACAAAAACAATGTCATAATCAATCCAAAGTTTTTAAGGATGATTCAATAATGACTCTTAAGAAAGTTATGTTGCAAAACTTTGTAAGTAAGAAAAAAAAACTAGTAGAACATTAAGGTGGTAAATTTATTAAATGCAAAGGTTTTGATATGAAATATTCAAAAGCCAAGTAGTTTGTTAAATGCATGAAATGATTTTAATTTATTATCACTATTATTTTAAGAAAACAACATATTGCATCATAAATGCGGAAATTTTCAAGGGGACAAATAAGATTACTAATTAAATAATATTAACTAATTTTAAGAGGAGGGAACAAATATGCACAACAAATTTTATTTTTTATTATGGATATGCTAAAGTTTAACCTTATAGACATGATTTCTAGGTGTTCAAAAATAGAAAACAGATTAACACATATGTGCATGATTTTGTAAATCTAAATGATATGAACAGTTTAGTCCTTAGGCATGGTTTCTACATGACAAGACAATGCTAAAAAACTTATAACATTTTTAAAACACCTAATAAGCCTACTAAATTATTACGATTTGATTTTAGCATTCGAAAATTAATGGAATCTAGTTTTTTTTGTTTTTTAGACTTATTAACAAAAGCGTCAAGCAAATTGAAAATTGGTTAGATTATAACACCTACAAACAATAATTCTAGGTGGTTAAAGATAAGACTATAGGCATGATTTTTAACTTTTTTTTTCTTAAAAAAAATTACAATGAACAAGTAGCATGTAAATCCCCTTCCCCTAGATGATCCCCCAAATAAATTTATATATATGATCTTTAGAGTTATAAATGTTACAACATTCGAATAAATAAAATAAAAAAGAAAAAATATAGATTCAAATAAGCAAATAAATCTTTCTTCAGGCTTAATCTTCAACTTGAACTTCAAGTTTGAAACCTGTCAAAGCAATCAAGTAATCACATTTATTAGTCATGGTGAGACATTATGAAATTGTTTAACAACTTATACATAACAAAGGAATAGAACAATGAGCTCACCCAAATGTATGAATACAAAAATAATTTAAATATTAATTCTGAATACTAACCGGTTAAGTAGATTAGGAATGGTAGCAATGAAAAAAGATAAGTTGATCCAACCTTACTTGAACAAAAGCAAAATAGCAAAGTAGCGAAGAAGAACACTTGAATGTTTACCGAAATCTTAATGTATTTAGAATAGCAAGAGAGCAATGAGAGAATGAAGAGTCATGAGAGAACTTGTGATTGAGAGTGAATGATTGTATGAGTTACGGTCGGGACCCACATTTATGGACCTCGAGGGATGCTTAACACCTTCTCCTCGAGGTAATTTGAACCCTTATCCTAATCTCTGACTCGCTGGCCTTAGCTAGACTTAGTTAGGTTAGATAGGTGCCCTAACGCGCCATAATTCGTTAGGTGGCGCCTCCAAACTCGAAATCCCAAAAGAGTTGTTAGGTCGTACACAAAACCCGTTTTCTGCGAAAATGGGGCGCGACAGAATGACGACTCCGCTGGGGATATTAGGTTCTTACCATTATGTGTTAATTGTTTATTTATGTGGGGTTACTTCATTTTTGGTCATTTCATTATTTGTTAGGTGCTTACCATGTTTGGTTTACTTTGTTTCCTTATTTATCGTCTTTTCCATATTCAACGCTCCCCCTTTTCCTTAATTGTTTATTACCATGTTTCACCTCTTCCTTTTTCCCTTATTTGATTAATTACATGTTTAATCTCATATCCTCTTTCCTTATTTGCGTGATTTTAATTTCTTGATATGTTTAAACTCCTTTATTTATTCATGCTTATTTATCTATTTATTGTTTATAAACTGTCTATATGTTACCGCTTTCCAATTTAAATGCCAAATGTTTATTGCTTTGATAGTTGACATTCCGCTCATACTTCCATCAATTGGGACCCTCTTCTTTTTTATTTTGTTCTCGTGATGTTGTGCCTTTGCACCTCTAACAACTACTCCAATCCTATTCAAATACCCATTATAGAGAGTCGACATATGCGTGGACGTAATGGATAGTTTTACTACCGTGAAGCCACGAGCCTCTCGCATAGAATCCCTTTCAAGTCCTTGTCAAGCCAACTATTAGAAGTCCTGGTTAAGTCATACATGCTGCATAAGCCCTAGGTGGTTTGACCCTTGGTGTCAATCCACATAATTAGTAGCCACCCTCTCGTCTAAAGGGCCCCAATACCCTTAGACAAATTGCATATTTATGTGTCAACGTGATCATAATAATTAAATCAAGGCAACTTTGTCAAAATGGAGTTTAGAAGTCGTTTGTTACTTTGTTTGCAGAGTCATGGCTCACCCTCATTTTCCCAACACACAAATGATGGTCAAAGTTAATCCTATTTTGAAGACTTGGTGGGAAGATATTCAAAAAATCGAGAGTTAGAAGCAAATGAACTGTTAGGCGGCCTCACTGCTTTGAACCCTTCTGCACACCTGAATATTACGTATGGCTTTTAGAAGACGCAGAGCATAGAGATTTGAGCGAAGGAGGTCTTCCTGGTTTTGGCGATAAAAAAGAGAGAAGATGGGCTCGCAACCTTCTCAACATCGACTATGACATTACCCCAGAAATGAGGAAGCAGATTGTGCCTAACATTGGAGAGCAACATAATTGAAGTTCTTTTTTTTGTTCTCTTTATTCCCCATGTGTTATCCCTAGCCCTTTAGTTATCTCTAGATTGATGTAATAAATAGAATTTATTTCAATAATTGAAAGTCGTTTTATCGTCTAACTCTAAACTCCAATTGGAAAATAAGGCTTGAATTAATTATTGTGCATCACTTATGTGTCTCTTGGGCCTACCTCTGGCTCAACGAGGCTCTTTTGCATTTAGGCGTTTATCTTAAATAACGTGTTTGATATCCCAATTTATGCAATGTTTTAACTTGGGCTTTATTTTTTTTATTTTACCCTTTCCCAATGGTTGATCTGTAGACCATAGTTCATCACACGCGATCAAAGGATTCATTTCCTTCTCTCCCGAATGAGAATCGCAAAGGAAAAGTGAAAGCGACTAATGCTAAGGTTATGTGCAAAACTATTGAAAAAAAAGTGACGAGTTGGTATCAAACCTTGAGCAGAAAATAAAGAAGTTAGAAGAAGAGTTGTTGGACATGCGCGAGTGGGCAAAGTTGTTACTCTCCGCCAATCCAACTTTGGAGACGAACATGGATATGTCACCTTTCGCAAGTCA